AGGGTTAGGGCTTAGGGGTTCGGGGTTGAGGGTTTGGGGTTTAGGGTTAAGGGTTAGGGCCTGGGGCTTAGGGGCTTGGGTTTGGGGTTTCATTTTGGTGTGTTGAGCTGGCTCCAATTTCAAGGGGCCGCAGCCGGAAACGCGAAACCTGAAGGTCCGAGGTCTTCGAGAAGCAGCTGACGGTTGGCATGCAGGAGTCCGTCTCCAAGGTCATTGTCATCGAGGATTGCGACGTGGTCACCTTTAAAGCCTTCCTGCAGCCACCTGGTCTCCATTCTTTGTGGTGCTTTACTGTAACTTTAGATCCTTAGCCTTTTCGGGCTCTTAATAAGGCACCTAAAGGCGGTTTAATTTGAAGCTACCCTTCTGAGTGCAGCTAAGCTTTTATGCGCTTAAAATGTCTGAGGAGGGAATGAGGAATTAGCCCTAAACCCTAAACCCTATGGGTACCTTACATGTCCCTATGAAAACCCGATGAGGGACTCAGTAGGATATACTTAATTCCCTCGTTTGTGTTTTCCACTTCTTGGGTTGAAGAGGATCTCCAGGGTTTGGGATTTCGGGCTTAGAATGCCTCGCACAATGCAGGTTCCTATACACTGACAGCCTCCCCGACGTCAAGGAGCTCGTGGCAGAGACGCTTGCTCAGCCAGCAGTTGAACTACAAGCTTTCTTGAGTTTAGGGTTTAGGGTTTAGGGTTTAGGGTTCAGGGTTTAGGGTTTAGGGTTTGGGGTAGAGTTTACCTTCAACTCTTGGGGTTTCCTTCATCTGTAAGAACGGTAGAGTTTACCTTCATTTCTTGGGGTTTCCTTCATTAGTAAGAACAGTAGAGCTTACCTTCCATTTTGGGGTTCCTCAATTTGTAAGAATGGTAGTGCCTACCTTTCTCTATTCTTGGCTACTTTGGTGTTTCGGAAATGAGGGGGGATCCTTACTGGGGTCCTTATTGCAAGGGAACCTTGCTATTTGGGGGTCTATTTTCGGGGTCCCCTATGTTCGAAGGTAAACTCTACCCCAAACCCTAAACCTTAAACCCCAAACCCTGAACCCTGAACCCCAAACCCTAAACCCTAAACCCTAAACCCTAAACCCTAAACCCTAAACCCTAAACCCTAAACCCTAAACCCTAAACCCTAAACCCCAAACCCTAAACCCTAAACCCACTTGGGAAAAATGAGGACCAGCAGCATGGACGGGAGCCCACCCTTGTCGCAGATGCAGGCGCTGCTGGCGGTGAGCCACAAGTATCAGGTGGCGTGCGCCTTTCGGGTTTAGGGTTTAGGGTTTAGGGTTTAGGGGGTGCCCCTCCCTCTCCTGAGTCGAGTCCCCGCTTCAAAGGTGCCCCCAAGAAGCCCTAAACCCTAAACCCGAAACCCTAAACCCTAAACCCTAAGCCCCTAAATGTCGGAAGCCTCCGAGGTGACGAGGCTCCAGCGCTGGTGCGAGTGGAAGCTTTGCCAGCAGCTCAGCACCTCGGAGGTCTGCGGCCTCCTTTGCCAGGCGCGGCTTAGGGTTTAGGGTTTAGGGTTTAGGGTTTAGGGTTTGGGGTTTGGGGCTTAGGGGCTTAGGGGTTTAGGGTTTGGGGTTTAGGGTTTGGGGTTTAGGGTCTCCTTTGCCAGGCGCACCTCCTCCAGGCCAAGCAGCTCGAGACCAGGTCGCTGTTGAGGAACGTTGGAGTGGTGCCCTCCTTCCCGGGTTTAGGGCTTAGGGTTTAGGGAGTTTAGGGTTTAGGGATGTTCAGGGTTTAGGGGTTTAGGGGTTTAGAGGTTTAGGGGTTTAGGGTTCAGGGTTTAGGTAGTAGGACCTAGAGTAGGCCCTGATCCCCCTTGCTTTAGGGTTTAGGTCTCGAAAAAGAGCACCCCTTCGATTCCTAGGCTGCTCTCAAGTTACCAGAGTAGGATTCTAAAGGAAGTAGGTAAGGAGCTTAAAGTTAGGAAAAGAGAGTAGGGGTTGCGTGGAAGATGAGTACGGAAATTCAGTTGCGTTGCCATAATGGGAGAAGCATACCCTGCCACAATAGCTTAGCCTACTTTTGAGCGTTCCCGAACAAGAGCACCAAGGAGAACGCCTGCCTGTCCTACATGAGGGACCACATGAGCCAGGTACTCAAGCTCCCCGCCTACGCGGAGCTGATCAAGAAGTGGCCTCAGATCCTTGGTAGCCCACTGGCACCCTTTTTCCCTTCTTTTTTGGCTTCACGGTTCCCTTATAAAGCAACCCCACCCAAAAAGGGGCCCTAAACCCTAAACCCTAAACCCTAAACCCTAAACCCTAAACCCTAAACCCTAAACCCTAAACCCTAAACCCTAAACCCTAAACCCTAAACCCTAAACCCTAAACCCTAAACCCTAAACCCTAAACGAGCCCATATGGGCTGTTTAACCAAGGATCGGGATGAAGGTCAGCCTCTTCACCGCGGGCGTCTCCGAGACCGAGGCAGCTGAGGCCATGGGTGCCTTGGCAGGCCCCGACTCACTCCTTGCGCTGGCGACGAAGTAGAGCGCGATGGAAAGCAACCCCCACCCCCCACCCGAACCCTAAAGCCCCTAAAACCCCTAAACCCTCAAACCCTAAACCCCTAAAACCCCCAAAACCCTAAAACCCCTTAAGAACCCTCAAACCCTAAAACCCCTAAAACCCCTAAAGCCCCTAAACCCTAAACCCTAAACCCTAAACCCTAAACCCTAAACCCTAAACCCTAAACCCTAAACCCTAAACGCCCAAACCTGTGGCAAGAGTCGGCGTGCGGCAGCAATTCCCGCTACGTACTGGTGCTTGAGGGCGAGCGGAGGGATCCGTAGACGAATCTCAGGGTTTAGGGTTTAGGGTTTAGGGGTTTAGGGTTTAGGGTTTAGGGTTTAGGGTTTAGGGATCCTTAAAAACATAGTGGCACCCTAATCCCTAGAGTTTCAAACTCCTGGAAATCCTAGACCTAGACTCTAAACCCGACAAACCCGAGACCCTAAACCCGAGACCCTTAACCCGACTGTAATCCCCATAAACCCTGGACCCTGTAGACTCGACTATGAACCCCATACATAAACGCTAGACCCTACAGACCCTAAACCCGATTTTGAGTTTATAAACCCTAGACCCTACCCTAAACCCTAAACCGACCCCAAGCCCGCACCCACTCCCTTTCAAGCACCAGCGGGACGTGGCATGGCCGGGCGCAGACGGACCAAAAGAGCTGAGTTAAGGGTTTGGGGTCAGGGATTTAGGGATTTGGGTTTTAGGGTTTGGGGTTTAGGGCTGGGGTTTGGGGTTTCGGGTTTAGGGCCCTTGAACAGCCCCCGGTCGTTAGTTGCTGTCGACTCCCCCGTAGGCTTTTTCAAGGACATTGAGAGTGGTTTCCAGCACCGCACCCGGCCACGTTGGGCTTTTTGGGGCTTAGGGTTTAGGGTTTAGGGTTGTTGGGGGTGGGTGGGTGTTCATTGGGGTTCCAGGTTTTGAGTGCTTTTGCGCTTTGGGGCTTGTTCCTGTGCTTGTGTGGCTTAGGGCTTTAAGAGCATCGCTTTTGGGGGTGCTCGTTTCTAGATGCTTCGTATGGACTATGGCTGGAGATCCTTGCAAGCCCCCAAACCCAAGACTCGCAAACCCTAAAACCCTAAACCCGAAACCCTAAACCCTAAACCCCAAACCCTAAGCCCTAAACCCTAAACCCTAAACCCCAAACCCTAAACCCCAAACCCCAAACCCTAAACCCAGAACCCACGCTGGAGAGGCCAACCATGGGAACCAGCCGGCGCGGGGAGCGTGCTTAGAAAAGAGCCTCTGTGCTGCGGAGGGTTTTGGGGTTTAGGGTTTAGGGTTTAGGGTTGAGGGCTTGGGGTTGAGGGTTCAGGGCTTGGGGTTGAGGGTTGAGGGTTTAGGGTTTGAGGGTTTGGGATTTTGGTTTTGAACGAGAGTGCTCTCCTTTTAGTTTACAAGGTTTCGGGTTCGAGTCCTTTGTTTATCTCTGTGCCCATAGCTTCGCTGAAGGCTGTGAGGAGCAACAGCCTTAAATGCCTCTTACACCCTAGGCCCTTAAAAAAATAGAGGGGTTTCCGAAAATGGGGGTACCTTTTTGGGGATCCCTTTAAGGGGATTCTAGTCTGTTTGGGGTTGAAAGGGGGTACCCCTATTTTGGGAAATGCCCATACTGGAAAAGTACAAGGGAGGCCTGATCCACTAAGTCCATTCTGTTGGGGGAGGGGGGGGGATGCAGACTCCACTCGCCATTGCCCCCCAATCCTCAACCTCAGGGTTTAGGGTTTTAGGGGTTTCGGGTTTAGGGTTTTGGGTTTATAAGCCTTGAACCCTCACGTCATGATATGGCTCTTGCCATTGCCTTCGGCTCGAGGGCATGACATTTTGCAGGACATGTGTCCACTTGCGCTGGTATCACTTACATGTGCTTTACCACAAACCCTAAATACGTACCCTAAACCGTAAACCCGAAACCCTAAACCCTAAACCGTAAACCCGAAACCCTAAACCCCAAACCGTAAACCCTCAACCCTGCCCCACCTGCGCCACTGGCTTGGCCCGAAACTGTTCAAGAAGAACGACTACATCCCCCTTGGGAATTGTTTTTTGTTTATATAAAACCCAAGAGGATATGACAAATGTTGTTTTTATTTAGGTTCTAAGGGGAGTATAGACGACACTCCAGGGTTTTAAGAGTTAGGGTCGAACTATCTATTTGTTCGCGCTTCGCTGTTGACCAACGATTTCGTCACTCGGAAGCCAACTGTCATGAGTACAGTAGGAAGGTACCCAAACACTTGTGAAAGGGCACCAAGAGCAGTGGCAATGAAGGCTCTGGAGATATTTGTGGTTCTGAATGTCGCCTTTCTGGCCGCGACGGCTGTCTGGTTTCGATTGGATCATGCGAGTTCTGCTTCTCGCTTCACCGAACCCAGCAGGAAGGCTCTTGTGGCCGAAGTCATGTGGCAATACAGTCTTCGATCCAACCTCCTGGTATGGGGATGCCTTCTGTCATCCTACTTGATCTATCTGGGGGAGTCGGAGTTCCTGCTGTACTGCCTAGCTGGATTTAGCCTCGTCAACGTCCTCACAGACGCGGTTTATTCCTACGAGGAGGTCGGCCCGATGTTTGCGAAGGTCCGAGGAGGGCATCGGGTCACGGCAATCGTGATTTGCAGCATTGCCGCCTCCTACCATTGGTGGATGAAGTAAGTAACCCTAAACCCTAAACCCTAAACCCTAAACCCTAAACCCTAAACCCTAAACCCTAAACCCTAAACCCTAAACCCTAAACCCTAAACCCTAAACGAGCCCATATGGACTCTCGGGCTGAGGGAACCGCCGGCTGCTGCAGTTGAGGCGCGAAGTTGGCTGTCAGAGCTCGCAGCATCTGCGAGGAAAAAACCAGATGTCTGACGTGAAAGGCGGGTTACGGATGTGTTATAGGGTTTAGGGTTTAGGGTTTAGGGTTTAGGGTTCAGGGTTTAGGGTTTAGGTGCTTTCCCTTTTGAGGACTGCTGCTAAGTACAGCAGCCCCCAAGGTGTGTCCCATGTTCCCAGAGACTCCAAAACCCCTTAGTTAAGGAATATCCCTTAAGTTATAATAGGAACCCTAATCTGATTTCTCTAACCCCTAAACCCTAAACCCTAAACCCCAAACCCTAAGCCCTAGACCCTAAACCCCAAACCCTAAGCCCTAGACCCGAGACCCCTTAGAAAGCACGGTGCCTGGTCGTCGGTTCAAGCTCGTCTCTTTGTCGCTCCACACCCGTTTCGAGCCTCGCACAAAGAGGCCCGGGCCTGAGAGGTTCTAAGGTAGGGAAGAAGGGTTCAGGGTTTAGGTTTAGGGTTTAGGGTTCAGGGTTCAGGGTTCAGGGTTTAGGGTTTAGGGTTTAGGGTTTAGGGTTTAGGGTTTAGGGTTTAGGGTTTAGGGTGGCATGTGTGGTTAATCCCTGAAAGGGTAGATGCAGGGTACCTACCTTCCTCTTTCCTTAGTGCCGCCTGTAGGATCTCCGGCTTTTGGGGCTTCTGCAAGAGGTTCTCATGGTTTGTCATCGGGTTTCGATTTAGACTCAGTTTTCGGCTTGGACTGGTTTTGGGCTGTTGCTTAGGGGATCTCAGGTTTTTTTTGTGGGGGGTTGAAGGGCGTTTAGATGTTTAGTCTTATCTGTTCTTGGGGGGTTCAGGGTTAAGGGCTTTAGAGGGATCCTTTTTCTGGGGGTCCAGCCCCCAGCGCGGCGTGTAAGTTCTATCGGGTTCTAGGGTTTAGGGTTTAGAGTTTAGGGGGGTTCATGGGGGGTAGTACCTAGGGGGCCTTAGGGAAGCTTAGGGAGTCTTCGGGAGTAGAGGAACCTTCGGGTTGCATACCCCACCCGGTAAGAACCCTGTAAGTAAGGCTTATGGACAACCATCTCAGAGGTCCCTAGGACTTCACACAGCGCTTTTCAAGCCGCCAAGGAGAGCAGCCGGTTTTTGTATGAACCCTAAACCCTAAACCCTAAACCCTAAACCCTAAACCCTAAACCCTAAACCCTAAACCCTAAACCCTAAACCCTAAACCCTAAACCCTAAACCCTAAACCCTAAACCCTAAACCCTGAACGGTTTTAGGGTTTAGGGCTTGGGTTTTGGGGTTCGGGGTTTCGGGGCTATGTGGGGCTTAGGGCTGGGGACTTAGGGTTCCTGACGGCCCTCAAACCCCTAAACCCCTAAACCCCTAAACCCCTAAACCCCTAAACCCCCAACCCCCAACCCTCAACCCTCAACCCTCAACCCTCAACCCCCAGCACACCTTGAGCCCATTTTGGCGCCAGGAGAGCATGGACGCGGTCCCTTGCTTCGTGGCCCCAGGCCCAGCTGCTGAGCCGGCGCGCGCGGGCCCTGGTTTAGGGTTTAGGTTTATATAGGGCTTGAAACCCTAAACCCTAAACCCTAAACCCTAAACCCTAAACCCTAAACCCTAAACCCTAAACCCTAAACCCTAAACCCTAAACCCTAAACCCTAAACCCCAAACCCTAAACCCTAAACCCTAAACCCTTCAGGGTTGAGGGTTGAGGTTCTCTTGATGCTCGGGTTGAAGGCCCCAGGCTCAGGGTTCGGCTTGATTGGCTCAATTTCAACCCATTCGGGGTTTAGGGTTTAGGGTTTAGGGTTTAGGATTTCGGGTTTCGAGTTTCGGGGGTTTCGGGGTTTGGGCGTTTGGGGCTTAGGGTCCACTTCAATGCATCAGGATGGTTGTCATCATCGCGACAGAGAGCTCATCAAAACACATTTCCGTGTGCGAATCCCGATGATGTCCCGCTCTATACCAAGAGGTTGTACAGTTTTACGGAGTAGGAACTGGGGCAGGTGTAGGGCCAACCTATGCTTTACCATCTACCTTGGCATACCAAAAAGTATGCCCACAGGATACTATCCTAAACCCTAAACATTAAACCCTAAACCGTAAACTCCAATGATATCATACCGTAGAATGCCGGAAGAGGGCTTGCGAGCCAACACCCGCATCGCCAGTTAGCACATTAAACCCT